TTATCTCTCCCCTCTCCTTTTCCCATCTCTCTCCCTCCTCACCCCCTCTCTCCCACTATCCTCTCTCCCCTCTCTCTCTCTTCCATCTCCCCCTCTTTCCCCCCTCTCTCTCTTCCATCTCCCCCTCTTTCCCCCTTCTCCCCCTCTCTCCCCCATCTCTCCCTCTCTCTCCCCCTCTCTTTGCTCTCTCTCTCTCTCTCTCTCTCTCTCTCTCTCTCTCTCTCTCTCTCTCTTCTCTCTCTCCTCTCTCTCTTCTCTCTCTCTCTCTCTCTATCTCTCTCTCTCTCGCTCTCTCTCTTCCCCTTTTCCTTCTCACTTTCCCCCCCTCCCCTTCTACCTTTCCCTTCTCTCTCTCTCCTCTCTCTCACACTCTCTCCCCCTTTTTCCCTCTCTCTCTCCTTCTACCTTTCCCTTCTCTCTTGCTCTCTCTCTCTCTCTCTACCCATTTTCCCCTTTTCATTCTCCCCCTCTCCTACCCTGCCCTTCTCTCTCTCTCCCCCTCTCTCTCTCACTCTCTCTCACTCCCCCTTTTTTCCCTTTTCACTCTCCCCCTCTCTCTCTTTCTACCTTCTCTTCTCTCTCTCTCTCTCTCTCTCTCTCTCTCTTCCCCATTTTCCCTTCTCACTCTCCCCCTCTCCTACCCTTCCCTTCTCTCTCTTTCCCCCTCTCTCTCACTCTCTCTCTCCCTCTTTCCCTTCTCACTCTCCCCTCTCTCTCTCCTTCTACCTTTCCCTTCCCTTCCGTCTCTCTCTCTCTCTCTCTCTCTCTCTCTCTCTCTCTCTCTCTCTCTCTCTCTCTCTCTCTCTCTCTCTCTCTCTCTCTCTCTCTCTCTCTCACTAAAAAAAAAATGGTGGGGACTCGCAGAACCAGGGATCAGATGAGAATGGTTCTGGTAGGGAGAAGTGGATGGAGGAGCAGTGGAAAAGGATGGAACAAGAGTGGGAGAGAAAATTAGGAGAGCTTTCTGAAACACTGGAGAAAGAGCTCTGTGAAATTTGAAAAGAGGATGGAGAAGGAGACAAAGTATTGGGTTGCACAAGTCGAAACTGCAGTGGCCAGGATAAGGGTACTAGAAGCTGAGATAAATAGGCTGAAGCGAGTTACAGGGGCAGTGACCAGAGAAGACACAGCATATGAAGCTGAGAGGCCGAACAGGAAGGAAGGAGATATGAAGAAGGGCCCAGGAGTGAAAGGGAAGAACAGCTGGGTGCTGATGGAGAGGGTGATAGGTCGATTGCTAAGGCACAACCATGCTACGAAGAGCCACTGGAAAAATCAAGGGAGAAAATGACAACATACAGACAGAATCCAGAGTCACAGAGGGTGAGGCAATGAGAGGAGCAAAGGGCAAAATCAGTGTTTATCCATGGGCTTCAGGAGAGAGAGGAAAGGACACACACTGAAAGGCGGCAGGAAGAAAGAAAGGAGATTGAGAAAAATCATCGCGGAAATAGGATCCTCCAAGAGAAATCACGGTTGAAATACTCGGAAGAGTACAAGAGGGTGTTCCTAGACAGAGACAGAACACAAACAGAACGACAGCAGCTGAGGGAGAGGACGAAAAAGCGAAATGAGCTAGGAAAGGAGACAAGGATGGAACCAGCAGAGGTCAGTCAGAGCAGAACAGAGCAGCAAGGACAAGCACACACAGAACTATCCTCAGAACCCCACAACCTATCACACCATCCCAACACACACTACAATCCATACCCACAGCTTCTACCCAACACCGAGCTATAGAATCCCACAGTATGCTATCAGGTTTCCCACCCTCACAGGCCCCCCAAACCACAGTGTTGGAAAGGAAACTGAAGGTATGGTACACAAATGCTGATGGAATAACAAATAAGTGGGAGGAGTGGCACGAGAGAGTCAAAGAGGTATCACCGGACATCATAGCTCTCAAAGAAACCAAGCTTACAGGTATGATAACAGATGCCATCTTTCCAACGAGATACCAGATCCTGAGGAAAGACAGAGGGAACAAGGGGGGTGGAGGAGTGGCACTGCTGATCAAAAACCGATGGAATTTTGATGAGCTGGAGAGAGGAGACAGCGGAGAAGAAAGTGATTACATAGCGGGAACGCTTCACTCTGGAGGTCCCAAGGTGGTAATAGCAGTGATGTATAACCCACCACAGAACAGCAGGAGGCCAAGGCAAGAGTACGACGAGAGCAATAGAGTGATGATTGACACACTGGCTGCAGTGACCAGAAGAGCTCATGCATGCAGGGCAAACCTCCTGATCATGGGTAACTTTAACCACAAGGAGATCGATTGTGACAACTTGGAGCCACATGGGGGCAAAGATACATGAAGGGCTAAGATGAAGGAGGTGGTACTGGAAAACTCCATGTACCAACACGTAAGGGACACTACAAGAGAGAGAGGAGAGGATGAACCTGCAAGACTGGACTTAGTATTCACCTTGAGTAGTGCAGATATCGAGAACATCACATATGAAAGACCCCTTGGGGCCAGCGATAATATGGTTTTAAGCTTCGAATACACAGTAGAGCTACAAGTGGAGGGGGAAGCAGGAAGACAAGGACGAATGAAGCCAAAATACAAGAAAGGGGACTACACAGGAATGAGGAACTTCCTGAACGGGGTTCAGCGGGACAGAGAACTGGCAAGAAAGCCAGTTAATGAGATGATGGAATATGTAGCAACAATGTGCAAGGAGGCTAAGGAGAGGTTTGTACCCAAGGGTTACAGGAATTATGAAAAAGCCAGGATGAGCCCATGGTTCACCCAAAGGTGCAGGGAGGCAAAAACCAAGTGTGCTAGGAAATGGTAGAAATATATAAGGCAAAGGACCCAGGAGAATAAGGAGAGCAGTCGTAGAGCCAGAAACGAATATGCACAGAAAAGAAGGGAGGCCCAACGACAATATGAAAACGACATAGCAGCGAAAGCCAAATCTGACCCGAAACTGTTATACAGCCAAATCAGGAGGAAAACAACAGTCAAGGACCAGGTAATCAGGCTAAGGAAGGAAGGAAGGAGGAGAGACAACAAGAAATGACCGTGAAGTATGTGAGGAGCTCAACAAGAGATTCAAAGAAGTATTCACAGAGGAGACAGAAGGGGCTCCAGAAAGACGGAGAGGTGGGACACACCACCAAGTGCTCAACACAGTGCACACAACCGAGGAAGAAGTGAAGAGGCTTCTGAGTGAGCTAGATACCTCAAAGGCAATGGGGCCAGATAACATCTCCCCATGGGTCCTGAGAGAGGGAGCAGAGGCGCTATGTGTACCCCTAACAACAATATTCAATACATCTATCGAAACAGGGAGATTGCCTGGGGCATAGAAGACAGCAAATGTAGTCCCAATCTTTAAAAAAGGAGACAGACATGAAGCACTAAACTACAGACCAGTGTCACTGACATGTATAGTATGCAAAATCATGGAGAAGATTATCAGGAGAAGAGTGGTGGAACACCTAGAAAGCAACGATCTCATCAACAGCAGCCAACATGGTTTCAGGGACGGGAAATCCTGTGTCACAAACCTACTGGAGTTCTATGACATGGTAACAGCAGTAAGACAAGAGAGAGAGGGGTGGGTGGATTGCATATTCTTGGACTGCAAGAAGGCGTTTGACACAGTTCCACACAAGATATTAGTGCAAAAACTGGAAGACCAAGCAGGGATAACAGGGAAGGCACTACAATGGATCAGGGAATACTCGTCAGAAAGACAGCAGCGAGTCATGGTACGTGGCGAGGTGTCAGAGTGGGCACCTGTGACCAGCGGGGTCCCACAGGGGTCAGTCCTAGGACCAGTGCTGTTTCTGGTATTTGTGAACGACATGACGGAAGGAATAGACTCTGAGGTGTCCCTGTTTGCAGATGACGTGAAGTTGATGAGAAGAATTCACTCGATCAAAGACCAGGCAGAACTACAAAGGGATCTGGACAGGCTGCAGACCTGGTCCAGCAATTGGCTCCTGGGGTTCAATCCCACAAGTGCAAAGTCATGAAGATTGGGGAAGGGCAAAGAAGACCGCAGACGGAGTACAGTCTAGAGACTACATACCTCACTCAAGGAAAAAGATCTTGGGGTGAGTATAACACCAGGCACATCTCCTGAAGCGCACATCAACCAAATAATGGCTGCAGCATATGGGCGCCTAGCAAACCTCAGAACAGCATTCCGACACCTTAATAAGGAATCGTTCAGGACCCTGTACACCGTGTACGTTAGGCCCATATTGGAGTATGCGGCACCAGTTTGGAAACCACACCTAGCCAAGCACGTAAGGAAACTAGAGAAAGTGCAAAGGTTTGCAACAAGACTAGTCCCAAAGCTAAGAGGTATGTCCTACGAGGAGAGGTTAAGGGAAATCAACCTGACGACACTGGAGGACAGGAGAGATAGGGGGGACATGATAACGACATACAAAATACTGAGAGGAATTGACAAGGTGGACAAAGACAGGATGTTCCAGAGATTGGACCCAGTAACAAGGGGACACAGTTGGAAGTTGAAGACACAGATGAATCACAGGGATGTTAGGAAGTATTTCTTCAGCCACAGTATGGACTTAATTTTAAATGAGTTCTTGCTGAGTGGCCAATTTTACCTATTTGGCACGACATGCATATTTTCTTCCTCTAATATATTCTCAGTTGCCTTTATAAAGCCTTTAAATAGGTTAAGCTTTATGTAATATATATGTATTGATTTATAGTTGTCATTCTTTCTCCCTGCTTACTCCTCACTTCTCTAGACTCCCCTCTACCATACCCTCACTCTTACCTCTTCTCTTATTCTTACCCTTTCATGACCATCACCTTTTCTTTGTTTTTTACTCCATCTTTCCCCACCACACTTATCTCCTTTCCCATCCACCTCTTCCCCTCCCCCCCTCGCTCTCTCACAATCTGCATTTATTTCCGTCTCAACACCCCTCTTCCTCCCTCACTCCTCCCGGGTTTTCACTCTCATGTTGTTTATTTGCTTAGCCTGCGATCAGTAGCGTCGCCACCACCACCACACAAACATCTTGGCATCTAGGCAAGATGTAGTTAGAATACTTTGGCATCGATATCTTCTGAAAACTTTTCAAATGTGATCGAGTATTATTCATTAGTATCTAAAGTAGAGCATCAAATAAAGGGGATCACCTGAGTTGAGCACAAGATGTCTTTAAGCTGTATGATGTCTTGTGGCTTCTCTATTGAACGTGCCGTGCTATATAGATTGTAAACTGACCACAATATAGTCCACTGCACCAAAGGACGTGTTTCCATATTTCAAGCCATCTGAAATAATCTCACATTTTCAAAAGATTATGACCAACCCTACTTGACACATCTCATTTTCACTGAGATAAAGAGAGCTGTAAAACACTTTTAGTGCTAAAGAGTTGTCAAAGAAGACTCACATAAGCAAGTTAAGACGACTTCAAAATATATGAATATATAACTAGTGATAGATAACATTAGCAAGAGCAATACCAACAGTTGAGTAAAAGTGACTACGAGGTCCAGATTGTGAACACCAGAGAATCCCTCCAAACTTTGTTTAACAAGAACAAGAATTCTATTGTTATCAAACAAAATTACTGACACCTTCAACATGTATTTCCGCTTCTTGAATACTCGCCACATTATATTATTTATGATTAGCTTGTCTGTAGTTTATACCATAGTTTCGCATGAAATAGATTTATATAACCTATTCAGCGGAACGATGATGCTAATGAACAACCAATCAGGTGATACCAAAAATATGACAAGTGTTGTTGTGCCTGGTAATGCAGCTGTCTCAGAGTCCTTACAGATTCTCGAAAAATCAGCTACAGACTGGAAAATGATACTGTTTTGGGAATCTTGGTCAACAGTTCTCTGGAATGAAAGGTGCATTTCTGTTTTTCTTCCTCCTCATATGTAGTGATAAAAGATCTAGGTACTGTTGTTGAATAAGGAAATATGTTTACGTAGTTTCTTCAGCAAGACCTTATTGTTGTTAGAAGGATTTTTCAGTACTCCAGGATAAGGATAATGTATAGTGTTGGTCAGAAATTTTCTTATTACCCCAAAATTTCCGTGCCATAACTTGAGAATGTCTTCTGATTGGCTGCAAACTTTCAACTTTGTCGTCTCTTATGACTTCGAAAGTTCGAATTATTATTGCATGGATATCAAATAGAGCTTCTAATGAATTACTTGAAAGGGACTCTTATGATTACCTTAGAACTTTCAACACAGATGAATCCTGTTTAGAAAAAGGCTCAGAGTGATACTGGAGAATATAAATGTTAATTTTCTAATGTTATTTAACAAATTGTCAGGTAATTATTTCCAGTGTGATAACTTTAGAGACACGTGCATCCTGGTATATAAAATAATAATTTAAGTTTTACGTTGTGTAGGCGCAAATTTGTCAGTATAATAAAATAGTTAAGAATGGAAATTATTGACTTCCATTCGATAACTCGAAAGTGCCTCTTCTAATCAACTTCAAACTTTTAGCACTGGTGTATTTTCCGAAAAATATATATATCTGCATTGTCAATGGCCTGTACAAATCCTAATTTGTCAGTTTTAATGAACAAATTATGATACTGGTTTTCGTGAAATATCTGAAGGAAGGTACGTCTGAACGTCTTCAAACTTCCAAAGTTGGAATGTCTTGTTTAGCGTAATATTCAGATTGGTTTTCAGTGTGTTACTTTCAATATTCCAGTTTATAAAAAGATGAAATACTGGATAATAGGATCTTGTCTGAGAATGCGTCTTAATAATGACTATAAGTTTTCAGGGCATTCATATTATTTTTACCTCACTAAGTTTTTATTCATTTCCCTTTAGGCGTTTAAAGAATATTAATTTTTATCAAAACCTTTAATAATTTTTGACAAGCTAAATTCAAACATTTAAGATTAATTCCAGTAGCACATCTGACAAAATAAATATACAATTTTCTTTATATTAATTAAGTTTTTCCTTCATAAGGGAGACCAGCCCCTCAAGGAAGCGAGTTTCCATGACACTGCCCACCAAGTTTCGCTCTTCGCGAAATTCTTAAGAACATTAAAATGCACCTTATTATATTATTAGTGTTCCCCTGTGTTTAGCTCTAGCTCCTGAGTTTATTTGTTATTATTGTATAAGTAAGCGTTGTAGTGTGTACATCTGAAATACTTGGCTGTTTTTAATTGTTGATTTCTAGGTCCTGGATCTAATTATTTTCAAAGATTTCTGCATTAGAACTTATGCTGCACTCCGGGGTTATGGGATACAGGGGATATCTTTTTCGGATCACATAGAGTCCAAAACAAGTCTAGTTTAGGAAGTAATCCTTCCCTAAGCAATGCCAACTTAATCTTGAAAAAAATAATGTCTAACCATAAAAAAAAAAATGGATCATACAATCACAGTAGAAATATTCAGTTCCCTTACCTAAATATTGTTCACCTCATGTGTACTAAGGTATTCTGAAATGAGTCTTTTTCCCCTCAAATCAATTTTTGTGAAGTTAAATGCCTTAACCCTCAGCATCAACTTCAAAGTTAAATGCGAAGGTGAAGTATTGATAAGAATGAACAATAGCTCTTTCACTTACATCATATACATAAAAAATATCCAAGCAATAAATTCTACGTGTCTGAGTAAAATATTGAGCTCCTTATTGGTTTATAAAAGTTGGAAACGAAATTAATAAAATGATGTGTACACACTGACAAGTCACTAAGCTTTATTTTGACTTGATAAATTACTGAAAAGAGTGAAAACTTTATCTGTATTATTATTATTATTATAATCAAGGGGGAAGCGCTAAACCCGGAGGATTATACAGCGCCTGGGGGGGGGGATGTGGAAGGCATTCAGGCTTAATTTGGGGAACTGGAGCACAGATCCAATTCCCTAAATCAAGAGCCCCTCACCAACATCAAGGAACCTTCCTTGAGGGGGATTTATCTGTAAATAAATGCTTGCTCCGAACAGGAATTTCTCATAACGAGGTAATTTTTTTTTTTTTTTTTTTTTTTTTAATTTTTCAACCATTAACTATCACAAATAATTTACTAATTACAGTAAAATAAGTAATTGTTCAACGGCCAAAGCACATTTTAATCATTATTATTTATTCATGTTTAATTCCTGAAGCAACGCAACAATTTAAAATTCACCTAAACAACTTCAAGAAGGAAAAAAATCAACTCTTCATAAGAATTGACTTTGCGTGACAGCATCAAAGTCTTCCTTTCCAGCTTCGTAGGGACTACTGCCACAGAGCTGCTGCAGGAAGGTTGCCCGAAATGGAAGTGCAACGTCACCATGGACAGAAGCTACGCTGGCACCGCTGACGCTATTATTTTGCCCGCCTTAGGGTAGGTACTCATCTTCCAGCAGTCACTATTTGCCTCTCTACTAATTAAAATCATTAGTGCCTTTATTTATCTTCATTTTCATTTTTTCTCGATGGATGGTCTTTTAGCAGTTTTTCAAGAGGCTCTCTGTCAGTACATTAATGTCCAGAATAATTTGAGACTACTAAGGTTATTTAAAACTTAATTTGTGTTTAATCATTACACTTCGAACAGAATTTTCATCAGGCGTAAAAATATACCCTGATTTCATATCCTTTGGCAGGTTCAGGCCATCGAATTTGCCACGAATGCCCAGGCCACAGTACCAGCGCTGGGTGTTTTTAGAGATGGAACCACCAACAGGAATATATGCAGTAGAAGGCGCCAATAATCTTAGGGCTCACAATATGAGTCATATTGTCAATTGGACCATGACCTACCACTCAGAATCAGACATCGTTGGCTTCTATGGTTTCTTTCTCTCACTCGGAACCACAGTCATGTAAGTGCCCCTTAAGGGGCTGTGAGAGGCGAAGGGATATAAATACTAATGGAGCATTCATTGTCCATTATTACTATGTAAGAATGTTGCCTTACAGTGGACTTTTTCATTGTTCTCTCTTTTAGGCCGTTGCGCCCCAACCTAATGTCCCAGCACGGCGAGGCTATGAGGCGGTACAAGACAGCGCTGGAACAAGGTGACACTTTAGAGAAAGTGATGGGCCCGTCATGGAGAAGCTTCGTCAAGAGGCCCAGGGTGGTGGCCTGGATGTCCAGCCACTGTCCCACTAATTCCAGAAGGGAGGAGTACGTTGCTGAGCTTTCTAAATACATCACTGTTGACAAGTAAATATACTCTTCCTTAGTTTAATACAACAAACCATTATTTATAAATTCATTATGTGAACGAAAACCAATGCAAAATATTTTGACTGTGAACGACGTTATAATATTTCGATGGCAATGGTGAAATTTTATCAGTTAGTGATAATGTGTGTTCACACTAGTGCAAACACTAGTATACAGTGTTCACACTAATACCCATAGTGTTCACACTAGTACACAGAGTGTTCACACTAGTGCACACAGTGTTCACACTAATACCCATAGTGTTCACTCTAGTACACACAGTGTTCACACTAGTGCACACAGTGTTCACACTAATACACAGTGCTCACACTAATACAAAGTATTCACACTAGTAAACGCAGTGTTCACACTAGTACACACAATGTTCCCACTGGTACACACAGTGTTCACACTAGTACACAGTGTTCAGACTAGCACAACACAGTATTCACACTAGTACACACAATGCTCAGACTAGTACATACAGTGTTCACACTAGTACACATAATGTTCACACTGGTACACACAGTGGCCAGACTAGTACACACAGTGTTCACACTAGTACACACAATGTTCCCACTGGTACACACAATGTTCACACTAGTACACAGTGTTCACACTAGTACATACAGTGTTCATAATAGTACACACAATGTTCACACTGGTACACACAGTGGTCATACTAGTGCACACAATGCTCACACTAGTACACACTGTACACACTAGTACACACAGTGTTGACAGTAATACACACAGTGTTCACACTGACTTGTTTGGAAGCGGTTGCATTCCACACCAACGATGATTAAGTGACAGCCTGCAATAATCTCTATTTCACTTTTGTGTTCAGTTATTCATTTTTGCACATCAGTACTCACACTTCCATTTGTGTAAATGAATAATATTCAAACGAAGCTCCAGTAATTCAGTAAGTGGACCTGAGGAAAGGCAGTTCAGTCACATTGATTAACATTGATCTGTTGTCGAAGTTTACTATATATTTTTTTTTATTATAACTGTAATAATTAGAGGCTACATAATAATATACGATTAGATTAAGCCGAGTTTCTTTTGTATTAATATAAACGGAGATCTGGAATGACCTGACTTGGTCTAATATTACCTAAGATAAAGAGAATACCATAAGAGTAACTCAATTTACCATTATCAAACTAAGAAAATTAGAGTAGAAAAGCAAAAATAACTTAAGCTGTCTCCCACATTTTTTTTCGCTTTCCTTTATAGGTATGGGGCTTGTGGGGATAAGGAGTGCAAAAAATATTCAACTGGGCCGCTGTTACATTCCTGCTGGAAGAACGTAATTACTGGAAACTACTCCTTCTACCTCTCCATGGAAAACAATTTATGTGATGAATACATAACAGAGAAGGTCTACAACGCCTTCTCATACAACCTCGTCCCCGTCGTCTGGGGAGGTAAGAATGGAGAACTGGGGGTGTGGATAGATGTATGTGTACTTATCCCTTTGCTTATTTGTACCTTCTTAAATGTACGGAGGTTGATCTCCATGTTTGAGTCCCACCTCTTAGTATCTCTTTTGATTATCCCTTAAACTCCCTGGATTCTGTCACTGAGTAATATGATTAAGACATTTGTAAAAACTGTGAATGTTTGCTTGAGAGAAGTGTCACAGGCGCAGCAGGCATTTCCAGTCTAATGCAAGGACACGATTACGAAGACTTTTTTTGAGAAGTAGTCAGTGGAAGAGGTGAAGAGATATAGTGATTGTAGCCGTGGTCGCATGGAAACGTAACCTACTGGTGGAAGTAGGTCATGCCCATAAGGAGGACCAGAAATTAGCAATGGAGTTCTAGAAAATATTCTCTATATTAGTAATGTCTGTCTCATCTTATGAGTATAATCTACTTCCACACCATTATAAACATCTCCATCATGGACAAGAGCCTGCAATGTTGGCGAAGCGCCTCAGAAGTGTAGATAACCAGGTGTTTCATACAAGTTTTCTTTATCAACTTTGAATCGACAGTGTATACTTTTGATCTGAAATGCCTTATGCATTGTTATCTTTTAGGTGGAACTCTCTTGTCAGGTAAATCCATACTGAATCATTATTCTTATGATTAGGGGAGGTTACTTAAGGAGGCTGCTTATCATAAACGTTGGATTTGGAAGGTAGGTGTGAAAAGCGACGTTTAAAATTAGTAGTCTCTGAACTTACAGGTAGTGACTACGCTAAGTTCCTGCCACCACACTCTTACATCAACGCCCGACACTACCACCCACAAGAACTGGCCCGCCTCCTGACCAGACTACACCAAGACCCCGTGGCCTATGGAAGGTAAGTAGGTGGCCCTGTAACAGGGAAAACACTATCATGGCTTCCTGTGACCTGTCTCTCATCAATACCATATGAATTTCCTCAGGTATCACCTCTGGCGCGGATACTTCCAGGTTATGAATAAAGGCAACTTGTGTGAGCTTTGTTACCGCCTGCATACTGACACAACATCCAGCTACCACACAGACATTTCTGAGTGGAGGATGAGGAGCGGCAGGTGCCTGATGGCTCCCAGCAATATGTTCAACAAGACGTTAGGTATGGATAGCTGGAGGTCGGTCATTTACTCTCACTACGAGAACCTAACCAACGTTGGTTTTGGCCTTTGATTCTCGAAGTTACAATGAACACTGTTCTAAAGATTGATTACAGTATTTGCAGCAAGAAAAGAAATCTGAAGGTATATAATAGCCTCTGCAGTGAAGCGTTTTTATTGCTCAACCAGATTAATTTTCTTTCTAGTGATAATATAATTTCAGCGCCAATGAATCAGCATGTGTGTATTCAAGTATTTTGCGCTAGAATTTAATAAAAAAAATTGAATTTATGTATTATTAAATTATATCACTTGTTCCTTTTTTAAGATTTCTCATAAATATAATGTCATATACTTAATAAAGTTATTAATTTGCTCTCACATGGAGTGATGAGCAGGATTTTTTTCCCTTTCCTCCCAGGTATTCTATCTGTTAGTCTTAGATATGTTTATAGTATGGGTCTTTCAGTAGTATCTATCTATTATTATTATTAGTATCTATTATTATTAAAATATGTTTTGGATTCGTCTTAACCTGTTAATGTGATCTTTTAAAATAAAAGCTTGAACCTGTTGTGCTCAATCCGAACACCAAGAACAGTTTCTAGGATTGTTTCTTGAACTGTATGCTTTAAAAAAAACCTCTTTATAATTACTGCTGCTTTCGTTCGGCTATGAAGCAGTCTTCATGTCAACAGATATGACAGTCTCTTTTCAGTGTTGATATCTTGGTAAATGCGATGCGTCTAGTGAATATGTATTGTTATTGTATCCAACTTGTTAAATATTAGTGTGTGGTCTGGTGCAGTAGAACTCATCGTCAAGTGTAGATTTTGGAACGGCGAATATTTTCTAAAACTATAATGCTAACTTCTGGCCCACTTTAAGGACAAAAAATATTTCCACTAGTGGGTCCCACCCACCTGTATCACCCCATCAACATTTGCTCTTTTCCTCATCATTTGTAAGTCCATTGTTCAGTGCATGGTTTATTATAAGGGCCTGATCTACCTCCACTAATGGCTCCCGTCAACATGTGATGAGGTTTTCCAACTACTGCACCTCTCATCTGGCTCCAGAATCCAAGTCTTCTTCCTCAAGCCTCAGTATTAGATTAGCAACTGCTGCGCAGGTGCACCTGTTATTCATTACTCATCATTTCCCATTGACACGTGTTACGTATGGTTGGCTGTAACTGGTGATAAATCATAGGTTATTGGGACTTAAAAAAGTGTAAAAAATTAAGGGCTTTAATATATAAATATACACTGTATGTATTTTTTTGAACAAATCGTCCATATCCCACCGAGGCACTGTGACCTAAAAAGAAAAATGAAAGTTTTTCTTTTTACAGACAAAGCTCGTCACCTAGCGGTGAAGGCACCATATTCAGATTTCCTTTTAGCTGTTCCCAATTACTCCCTGGGCACTCGACTCGACCCACAGGCCATTCGGATTGGTGTTGCTCTCGCCTAACCGCCCCCATACTCACCGAACACAGGTATATTTGCGGCAGGGCGTTGGTTGATCAATTTGGACTTCATGGTCTCGTGTGTCATACATTAGAAAGGAAATATGCTAGACATAAGGAAGTTAACGACATCATAAAGAGAAGCCTCGCCACAGCCGATTGCCCAGCTGAACGGGAACCCCAAGTACAGAGGTCTGACGGAAGTCAAAATCGTCCTGATGCAGTCACTACGCTACCCTGGAAGGATGGTAAGCAGATTGCCTGGGACTACACCTGTACTGCCACTTTGGCAAACACCTGCTTTCCATACTCTGAAGCTGAAGTGGGTGGAACTGCCAGATACAGGGAGACCAAGAAGATCCATAAATATGAAGGCCTGAGCTCTTGCTATAACTTCCTCCCAGTAGGGCCGGAGACCCTTGGAGCATGGGGCAAGTGTGCTCTAAAGTTCCTGAAAGACCTGGGTGAAAAGCTCGTCACAGAAACTAAGGATCACAGAGTGGCTAGCGTTCACTTTCAGAGACTCAGTGTTGCAATCCAGAGGGAAAATGCCTGCAGCATTCTGGGCACGTGGCCAACCGCCGGAGAGCTGGACGAAGTATTCGAGATTACCAATTGTATTTTTGTCAATATATATATATAGTGATGGCCAGTGCCATCACTGAATGGGAGACTCTTGCTGCTCCAGCACCAAACCTAGTGCAGCACTGGCCTACAAACAGTCAAGTTGGGATAGCCCCATCACTGAAAAGGTGCTTGTCAACATGCTTAGGGCTGTAACATCAGACAGGGAGACTGCCTCTCTCCAAGTGAGTGCACATCACTCTGGGGACTTCCTCCAAACAGTTCCTATTTCGGCAATGGGAACACGCCTTGACCCTTAGACCCTCTGTATTGCAATGGCTTTCCGCCTTGCTGCTTCAGTTCACATGGAATATACGTGTATACGGTCTACCTGGTCTTAACTGTTTCAAAACCAAGGGCTGGCATGCAAGACACAATGAAGTCAACGACATCATAAAGAGAAACCTTGCTACACCTCAATGCCCAGCCGAAAGAGAGCCCCAATCACTAGCAGTCAACAATACCCACAACTCAGCAAACTGCCCCGACGGAATCACCATCTAACCTTGAAAGAATGGCAAGCTCTTAGCATGGGACTATACCTGTGTGTCAAAGCTGGCTGACACCTACATCCATCACAGTGTCTCAATTTGTCCCAGTGGGATCAGAAACCTTGGGATCATGGGGGAAAAATGCCACACGTTTCCTTAAAGAATTAGGTTCCAAACTCATCGACACCATCAGGGATCCAAGGGCAGCCACTTTCATGTTCCAGCGCCTCAGCGTCGCCATCCACAGGGTAAATGCATGCTTCATACTGGGCTCACGTCCGGCTTTCGAGGAGCTGGAGGAGATTCATAATCTTTGGTATTTTGTACCAATATATCCATATCTATAAATATATTAAACAACCACGGTGACATCACACATCCTTGTCTAAGGCCTACTTTTACTGGGAAATAATTTCCCTCTTTCCTACATACTCTAACTTGAGCCTCACTATCCTCGTAAAAACTCTTCACTGCTTTCAGTAACCTACCTCCTACACCATACACTTGCAACATCTGCCACATTGCCCCCCTATCCACCCTGTCATACGCCTTTTCCAAATCCATAAATGCCACAAAGACCTCTTTAGCCTTATCTAAATACTGTTCACTTATATGTTTCACTGTAAACACCTGGTCCACACACCCCCTTCCTTTCCTAAAGCCTCCTTGTTCATCTGCTATCCTATTCTCAGTCTTACTCTTAATTCTTTCAATAATAACTCTACCATACACTTTACCAGGTATACTCAGCAGACTTATCCCCCTATAATTTTTGCACTCTCTTTTATCCCCTTTGCCTTTATACAAAGGAACTATGCATGCTCTCTGCCAATCCCTAGGTACCTTACCCTCTTCCATACATTTATTAAATAATTGCACCAACCACTCCAAAACTATATCCCCACCTGCTTTTAACATTTCTATCTTTATCCCATCAATCCCGGCTGCCTTACCCCCTTTCATTTTACCTACTGCCTCACGAACTTCCCCCACACTCACAACTGGCTCTTCCTCACTCCTACACGATGTTATTCCTCCTTGTCCTATACACGAAATCACAGCTTCCCTATCTTCATCAACATTTAACAATTCCTCAAAATATGCAAGGAATTCGCGAGAGCAGGAGAAATATACACTATTATATATATATATATATATATTATATATATATATATAATATATATATATATATATTATATATATATATATATATATATATATATGTCGTGCCGAATATGTAAAACTGGTCAATTAGCAAGAACTCATTTAAAATTAAGTCCTTTCTAAAAATTTCTCTTATACGTTTAAAGATATATTTTTTTCGTTAATGTTGATGAAAAATTTATAATTTTGCACCAAAAGAATCTTAGAAAACTTACCTAACCTTATTATAACAAGAACAATTTATTTTAGCGTAACTCAACTGAATATATTTTAGATTTGTTTACAATAATTTAATATTTAACAAACACAGTGAAATATATTTTTTCGTTAGGTTCAGAATGATTTTGGCGAAATTATTGCATACACAAATTTTCACTTGTCCTATATGGCAAGATGAGCGTTGCTATTTAAGCCAAGATAGCAAGTTCTGCCTATTCGGCACGACATATATATATATGTATATGTATATGTCGTGCCGAATAGGTAAAACTGATCAGTTAGCAAGAACTCGTTTAAAATTAAGTCCTTTCTTAAATTTTCTCTTATATGCTTAAAGATATATTTTTTCACTTACGTTAATGTAAAAATTAATAATTTTATACCAAAAGAATCTTAGAAAACTTGCGTAACATTATTATAACAAGCGCAATTTAATTTAGCCTAATCCAACTAAATATATTTTAGATAAGTTTACAATAATTTAGTAATAAACAAAGGCAACGAATTTTTTTTTTCTTTAGGTTCAGAATGATTTTTGCGAAATTATCGCTTGCCTTATTCGGCAAGAAAAGCGTTGCAATTTAATCCAAAATAGCAAGTTTTTGGCTTAAATAGCATATAATTAGAACAAAATAGCATATAGCAGTGTCTGACAAGTTGTGTACGAATGGTATATAATACCGACAACTTGTCGGTATTATATACCATTCGTACACAACTTGTCAGACACTGCAACATCATGGAATCTTAATTCTGAGGACATGTACATAACCTTCACGACTACGACATCTACTACTACAACTAACCCATCTCTTTGGGAAGGACCTACTTCCACTGGGGAATCCCGCCTACCAGTGAATATGCCCTCGTCTGCTACACCTGACGTTACTATATAAGCGCCAGGGTCCTTTCTTCTGCTTCAGAATCTCCACGACTATGGTGCTCTTCGCACCTACTCCTAGGTTGAGGGACTGATTACCTCATCTTCTGTACATAGTTCTACTGTCTTCAAGTTATGTTCTAGAATTTGTATTGATAAAGCCACTGGATGGCGAAACGTCTACAATAAAGATACCCAGATGCTGCACATGTGTCTTAATCTCAAAATAGCATATAATCAGAACACTCAAAAATCACCATCGTTGCGAGCACAAATTCAGTAATGACAATTTATAAACCTTTATGAAAGACCGTAACAGTTCCATATGTTGTTGAAGTACACTTATTACTGAGAGTAACTCACTTTCACTCATTCAGTTATTCTCTCTCTCTCTCTCTCTCTCTCTACCCTTATCGGTGCATGTAGACTGATCACTAACCTGACAGTTTCTCCGAGTGAGAGAAAGTGGCCATAGAAGGCAGCGATGTCTGATTCCGTGTGATAGGTCATAATCCAATTGATGTGAAGGCTCAGGTTGTTCACCCTGTCTCCAACGGTGGTTATT